AGACTTGCATCTATGGCCTGGAGTAAAAGGGTCTGTAATGTGTGTACACATGGATATGCCGGGTATTTTTTAAGAGTGCGGTATTTGCTTACTGTAATTATATCTTTGAAGGATATGTCACCATAATAATAGGGGTTTTCCCCTTTTTTCTGGCAACAAAACTGAAACCTTTTTGTACAAGGATTCATGTCTGCATTAACCACAATAGTTGCAGTCAAAATGCAAACAAAAAACACACTGATAATATATGCGTTGTCCTTGAAACTGATTGGTCCACACCAGAGACAGCTTTTTTAGAGTCTAGTCTCAATTGGTGCTAAACCAGATGACGCCTTTTGGCGTCATCTGGTCTCGCACCAATCAAGACTAGACTCGAAAGAAAGCTGTCTCTGGTGTGGACCAATCAGTTTCAAGGACAATGCATATATTAGAGTTTGTTTTTTGTTTGCATTTTGACTGCAAGTATTGTGGTTAATGCAGACATGAATCCTTGTAAAAAAAGGTTTCAGTTTTGTTGCCAGAAAAAAGGGGAAAAACCCTATCATCATATTTTGGTACTGGCAAAGGAGGTCCAATGATATTTCACCATGTTTTAATTGCCCTGTTTGCCGCTCATTTGGCGAATCACAATTACAGACATTGCATTATTTTTCTGATAATATCATCATCTGCAGCAGCATAAATTGTTCTGAATCCACAAAGCCTTTACATTCTTGTGCCACCTACTCTGGCATTGTGCAGCTGTTTATCCGTCTTACTCCTACACACTCTGTTTTCACATTGATGATAAATCATTAAGAAGAGAACACAAAAAGGATGCCAACGAATGAACAAACAAAGGCTTTGGAATCGTAGCGTCCATTTGTAATGATATTTTATAACAAAAAAATGTGATATTTGTGATGAGCAGTAATGGTCCGTTCGAGGGTTTGGTAGCTAAAATGAACAACACAGTGGGAGTATCGTGGGAGGGAGTCAAATTATTGTTGAATCTTGATTACAGCACTAAATCTTAGCACCTCAATTCCTAGAAAGGCAATGACATGTTGTTGTTCAGCATGGCTAGTTATTATTATTGGATGAAGATAGTTAAGTTACATCCGATGTGTAAGTACAGTAAGTATGTATGTACAGTACTTAAAGAAATGGTGGACCTTATCTTCTTTGGTTCTTTCGGTAAAGTCACGTAGAATGAGAATAAAATAATAAATTGATAAATAAAACAACACAATACGTGACTTTACCGAAAGAACCAAAGAAGATGAATCCTTGCAGTCACGAAAGCTTTAAATCGGTGGACCTTAAATTGTGCTTTGAGCAAATAGGTCCCTGTAGGAGGCAAGTCAAGCAATAGGTTTAAAATAATTGGCCAGTCGACTATTCTCTCACATGGTAAACACAATTTTTAACAGAACCTAAAAGTATATACAAAAATAATTGTGACACTCAATGATCTTCGATGGTGCTGTAATTGTCATGCGAGGTCAAACTTGTAGTCACCTTCATTGACCTCTCCACGCTAACTAAATGACTATTATTATTAAATTAGAAAAAAGAATCATTACTTAAGGCACATTACACGCTGCATATCATGGCAATCATCATCATCATCAGCCATTATCTATCAACTGCAGGACGAAGGCCTGTCGATGCCATCACCGTCCGTGCCGAACAATCCTGCAGAGCCATAATCTCATCTCACGTTTGCACAAACTTCATCTCCGCAGTGGGCACTCTTCTCTGATGCGTTCTCTCCTTTGTCCGCTATTCTGTCACCAGTCTCCTCGATTTCACCATCACCACTTGGAGCGGCATGCCCATATCCCATCGAGAATATTCACAGATAACAATGTCCCCGGCGAACGGCCGGATTGGTCACTCTCAGATGTCGTTTCCGGTTGGGCCGCGCGTTGTTCGGCATGATGTCCGACGTTTTGCTCCACATGCCAGGAGCTTCTTCAGGAACCCAACGACATGCGATTCAATCCACGAACAAATCCGCACCTCCGATTAGCACTGTTGGCTATGTACGGTGCGAAAGAAGTTCAACATACATACATAGTGATTAATCTATTCATCAATGAACTATTTTTTTTTAAATCATCAAGCGTGGATGATGACTACCGGCTGTCCAGTATGTGTGTCCACGAAGCAATGTATTTTAACATGTTGGAACTTTTTTTTTACTTTCCGCACCTATCAGCATAAACAAATGCAGAAAATGAATAAAACGTTTAAAGCATTTCGCATTGCCAGTTTTCATAACTAAAATGTGTTTACGTGTCTGCAAAACCGGGCATCTAATAAATAAAAAGTGCTTGGCTCTACGGCACAACCGCACAAATAACGTACACCACAGCCAAATGGACCGTCTTGTGTCATTGTTTAGTTGTGTCGTTGTGTCATTATGTCGGTGTGTCGTTGTGTCATTGTATTGTTGTGTCATTGTGTCGCTGTGTCGTTGTGCCGTTGTGTTGTTGTGTCGTGTCGCTGTGTCATTGTGTTGCTGTGTCACTGTGTCTCTGTGTCATTGTGTCACTGTGTCGCTGTGTCGCTGTGTCGTCGTGCCGTTGTGTTGTTGTGTCGTGTCGCTGTGTCACTGTGTCGCTGTGCCACTGTGTCACTGTGTCGTTGTGTTGCTGTGCCGTTGCGCGGTGGGTGTTGTGTCGTGCCATTGTGTCACTATGTCACTGTGTCGCTGTGTCACTGTGTCGCTGTGTCACTGTGCCGCTGTGTCACTGTGTCACTCTGTCACTGTGTCGCTGTGTCACTGTGTCACTGTGTCGCTGTGCCGCTGTGTCGCTGTGCCGCTGTGTCGCTGTGTCACTGTGTCATTGTGTCACTGTGTCGCTGTGTCACTGTGTCGTGTCGCTGTGTCACTGTGTCACTGTGTCGCTGTGTCATTGTGTCACTGTGTCACTGTGTCGCTGTGTCACTGTGTCGCTGTGTCGCTGTGCCACTGTGTCACTGTGTCGCTGTGTCTCTGTGTCGCTGTGTCACTGTGTCGCTGTGTCACTGTGTCACTCTGTCGCTGTGTCGCTGTGTCACTGTGTCATTGTGTCACTGTGTCACTGTGTCTCTGTGTCACTGTGTCATTGTGTCACTGTGTCGCTGTGTCACTGTGTCACTGTGTCGCTGTGTCACTGTGTCGTGTCGCTGTGTCACTGTGTCGCTGTGTCGCTGTGTCACTGTGTCGCTGTGCCACTGTGTCGCTGTGTCACTGTGCCGCTGTGTCACTGTGTTGTGTCACTGTGTCGCTGTGTCACTGTGTCACTGTGTCGCTGTGTCACTGTGTCACTGTGTCGCTGTGCCACTGTGTCACTGTGTCGCTGTGTCTCTGTGTCGCTGTGTCACTGTGTCGCTGTGTCACTGTGTCACTGTGTCGCTGTGTCGCTGTGTCACTGTGTCATTGTGTCACTGTGTCACTGTGTCTCTGTGTCACTGTGTCATTGTGTCACTGTGTCGCTGTGTCACTGTGTCATTGTGTCACTGTGTCTCTGTGTCACTGTGTCATTGTGTCACTGTGTCGCTGTGTCACTGTGTCACTGTGTCGCTGTCTCACTGTGTCGTGTCGCTGTGTCACTGTGTCACTGTGTCGCTGTGTCGCTATGTCACTGTGTCGCTGTGCCACTGTGTCGCTGTGTCACTGTGTCGCTGTGTCACTGTGTCGCTGTGTCACTGTGTCGTGTCGCTGTGTCGCTGTGTCACTGTGTCGCTGTGCCACTGTGTCACTGTGTCACTGTGTTGTGTCACTGTGTCGCTGTGCCGCTGTGTCATTGTGTCACTGTGTCGCTGTGTCGCTGTGTCACTGTGCCACTGTGTCACTGTGTCACTGTGTCGCTGTGTCACTGTGTCACTGTGTTGTGTCACTGTGTCGCTGTGTCACTGTGCCGCTGTGTCACTGTGTTGTGTCACTGTGCCACTGTGTCACTGTGTCGCTGTGTCACTGTGCCACTGTGTCACTGTGTCACTGTGTCGCTGTGTCACTGTGCCACTGTGTCACTGTGTCACTGTGTCGCTGTGTCACTGTGTCACTGTGTTGTGTCACTGTGTCGCTGTGTCACTGTGTTGTGTCACTGTGCCACTGTGTCACTGTGTCGCTGTGTCACTGTGCCACTGTGTCACTGTGTTGTGTCACTGTGCCACTGTGTCGCTGTGTTGCTGCGTCACTGTGTCGCTGTGTCGTGCCATTGTGTCGCTGTGTCACTGTGTCGCTGTGTCGCTGTGTCCTGTGTCGCTGTGTCACTGTGTCGCTGTGTCACTGTGTCGCTGTGTCACTGTGTCGCTGTGTCTCTGTCTCTGTGTCGCTGTGTCGCTGTGTCTCTGTGTCTCTGTGTCATTGTGTCGCTGTGTCTCTGTGTCACTGTGTCGCTGTGTCACTGTGTCACTGTGTCGCTGTGTCACTGTGTCGCTGTGTCACTGTGTCACTGTGTCGCTGTGTCTCTGTGTCGCTGTGTCGCTGTGTCACTGTGTCGCTGTGTCACTGTGTCACTGTGTCGCTGTGTCACTGTGTCACTGTGTCGCTGTGTCACTGTGTCGCTGTGTTGTGTCACTGTGTCACTGTGCCGCTGCGTCACTGTGTTGTGTCACTGTGTCGCTGTGTCACTGTGTCGCTGTGTCACTGTGTCGCTGTGTCACTGTGTCGTTGTGTCACTGTGTCGCTGTGTCATTGTGTCACTGTGTCGCTGTGTCACTGTGTCGCTGTGTCACTGTGTCGCTGTGTCACTGTGTCATTGTGTCGCTGTGTCGCTCTGCCGCTGTGTCTCTGTGTCGTTGTGTCACTGTGTCGCTGTGTCACTGTGTCGCTGTGTCGTTGTGTCACTGTGTCGCTGTGTCACTGTGTCGCTGTGTCACTGTGTCACTGTGTCGTTGTGTCACTGTGTCGCTGTGTCATTGTGTCACTGTGCCGCTGTGTCGCTGTGCCGCTGTGCCGCTGCGCGCTCGGTGTTGTCGCGTCGCGCCGTTTGTGCCGTTGCACCATTGCGGTGTCCGTCCTCCAGGGCACGGGGAGTGCGAGTGCGGCGAGTGCCACTGCCACGAGGGCTGGGCGGGCGAGAGCTGCAACTGCTCCACGGGCACGGACGCGTGCATCACGCCCTCGGGCCTGCTGTGCGGGGGCTGCGGGGAGTGCGTGTGCGGCCACTGTGTGTGCACCACGCTCGGCGCCTCCGGGGACAAATGCGAGCGCTGCCCGTCCGACACGGACCCTTGCTCGGCCAAGAGGTGAGCACGCGCCGGTGGCAGCGTGCGCGCTAAAGCACGACGTGACGGGGAAGTTGAGGCCCGGCAATTGCTTGGCTCTCGCGCCTGCTGGTGGAAGGGCCTCCAATGCCGAGAGGTCGAGAACGGCCCCTCTGAAGGATGTATTTTTGACCTATTCCTCCGTGCCAGCCAGATGCCTCGGAAGAGGTGAGGAGCGTCGATACTTCACCGCAACCAAACTGTTGACCTTCCGATCGACTGCCCGTCGTGTACCCGTTTCTACTGTTGCGTGGGCACAGGAGGGAGGGCTTGGCAAACTTGCCCATTATTTCTACTGCAGTGCCGGGAGATTGAATCGGACCGGTGGCCTCTGGATTTGCAAGTCCAGTACGCTAACCATTACATCACAGCAGGATCCCGGACTAAGGAATGGTTGATGTCAAGAGTATTTTACTTTTGATTTAAAGCTTTCGTGACTGCAGTAATTCATATTCTTAGTTTTTTCGGTAAAGTCACGTTGAAGAGAATCAACAAAATAATAAAATATATATAAACAATAAAAAAATTCTCACGACGTTTCGACCATAACTCAAAGACGACCGTTTGAGTTATGGTCGAAACGTCGTGAAATTTTTTATTGTTTTTTATATATTTTATTATTTTGTTGTTTCTCTTCAACGTGACTTTACCGAAAAAACTAAGAATATAGTATTTTACTTGTTAGTGAAACATGTTTGCGCTCTTGTCATGATTCAATGGTTTGCGTGTCCTCCTTATACACGTCAGTTACGTTGAAAAAGGGTAAGCTGTGCACAACAATCGATTTACCTTGACTCTTTTAAAGTATTCCTTGTAATTTAAACGTTCACATGATGTACCCATGTCAAGTGGCAGTCACCTAGTCACAAACCACAAACACGTGCATGGGATGATGTGGCAACAGTACATGTACTGCAGGGGCATATTCCCCAACATCTGTTTCATAGCAATACAGGACTGAGTAAAAAAAAATGTATTCCACGATGGTACATTTAGCAGGCCGATATGGAATGGAAATGCGTTGGGAAAAAAATTGTGCAAAACAATACATATGATGGAAAAAAGCTAAACAGATGTGATGCATCTTCTTGGTTCTTTCGGTAAAGTCACGTAGAATGGAAATAAAATAATAAAAACAAAACATTCTACGTTACTTTCTACGTGGTGACTTTACCGAAAGAACCAAGAAGATGAATCCCTGCAGTCACGAAAGCTTCAAATCGAAAAGATGTGATATACACTTGTGGGGTTTTCGTTCATTTAAGAATCACTTTGTATACATATGCTACAGTGATCAAAATGTAAGTCAAAGGTCTCTCCTTACGCAAGAGATCTTGACACTAAAATGTCTAGAGTAGCTTTCAAGTTGTATAAACTCAACAACAACAAAAACTTCCTTCCTTAAACATGTGGCTTGGCATCGGCGTTGTGAGGAGCTGGTTTGATATTTTTCTCACCACACTTCATGCCACTGTTCTTGTTCTTGGTTCAGACCAGGAAATTGAAAGGTGGGCTCCACTTCCAGTTTTGGTCTCAGTGTCTTCACGTAGGCGAGGAAATAATGTGTCTGGGTGTTATTTTTTTCTCTCCTGCCACCAGGGACTGCGTCAAGTGCATGCACTTTGAAACCGGGAGACTGAATGAAACTTGCGGGCAGATGTGCAAGTACATGCTCAGTGTTGTGACCCAGCTGCCCGGTATGAACCTGCACACGTGAACACGGCTCTGACACTTTGGGCGACCGAAATGATTGCATCCCTCTGCAGAGCTTTGAAATATTTCTCTCGGTGCCTCACACGCTCCACTGGAACAGAGGGGCGAGGGCAAAGTTTTAGTTATGGGAGAGAGTGCCACCGTGTGGTGAAAGTAATGTAATGGCCTAAGTTAAAACGTGCTTATTACAAAGTACTGTATCTTCAACCTATGCACAATGATTGAGTAGATATATACGCACACATACACGATACTTACGCAGCCACTGTTCTTCAGTGCTATGTTTTGTTCATAATGAAGTCTGCATGTTGCGTAGAATATAATACTTAATAATTTGCCGAGTTGACAACCTGCCTTAAATACTGTCGCAAGTGCAATACTCATCATTATTCCCATTGTTATACGCTGTTGGGGAACTCTATATACGCTTATGATGAAAGAAATATGCAAAACTATTGATTGGTTTGTGTTCAGAGATCTCTTTCAGCATGCCAAATGTATCAAACTTTCAGTACAACATCAAGTTGTTTTCCCAAAATTAATGCTCCTCAATAATATTCTGTAAAATATGACCATATACATGGAGCAAAATGATTAAGAACATACGTGTGTTATAGCCACATGCCTCTGAATTATTCTTACAAGTGCGCGGACGGTAGAGGAGGTGGAAATTAAATACAATGCAGTATGTGCACGTCTCTACGCATTACGAATATTACATTCTCACTATGGTTTGACCACCCATCGTCGTGTGTGCTCACACACACAATATATCACACGATATATTTCCAAAATTAAATTAAGCAGACGTGTATTGCGGTTTTGCGTCGCTCAGCATCACACTCACAGTGTTTTAGCGATTTGGGTATCCCAGACATTGTAAAACGGGAGCACAATGGGATATTGAGTCATCTGGGGCAGCACTGCAAGAGTGAACCCCGGAAAACCCAGTGCCCTAGTTTATTTTCACCCAACTCCAGGCACAAATATTCAGCGAGCTGGGTTAAGTTATTTTCCTTGACAATGCTGGAGGGTTCTCAGCAGTGTCAAGATGCCTATGAAGCCCCAGTGCCACTAAACCTCTGCACTGTAGAAACGCTGTGCCCAGATAGAGGACAAGGGCCATTGTGCTCCGCCTTCTAAACTTTGTGGCACGAATGTGGGAGGGGAGGATGTGGGGTGGAGGGTAACGTGAGGAGATCAGATCTCACTCTCCCAGCTCCTGTGAACGGTTACAAACACACAGTCACTCCCTCCCGAAGTGCAGGTGTAAATTTGACTTTCAGAGAAGCCATCATGACTTGTGTATATTTCACAGTAGAATGTTTGCCATGTCTTTGATTTCAGATTCTGAAGATGTGAATCCCAATGTGTGCACTTTCTCAAATGAGAACAACTGCAGTGTGCAGTTCATGTACAGCAAGGATACTGCTATCCACCCTACCCTCTATGTGCTCAAAGAAATGGGTAAGCACATACCGTATTCTCTATATACACGCTCAAACATGATCTTGGCAAATAATCTTAATCCGTGTCCTATCCACGGCTGGATTAATGCCCGTCCACGTTATTGCTGTTCTGCACGGTCCTACGATGCCAGGATCCAATTTTCTCCTGCGCATGAGGCGACATCATCGCTCTACGATGGCCTCATGCGCCGTCACCCTCTCGGGAGTCTCCCCTATTTGCTATTCTGTCACCAGCCTCATACATCTGCTGTCGTCACTGCTAGTGATATGTACTGCGTAAGCCACTTACTTTTGTTAACAGTCAACATGATGTTTCATTTGCATTTGTTCCTCTCTCTGTCAGTGTAATGCCCAAGAATGCATCTCTCCACACTCTGTTGAATACTTTTCTAATTTTGTTCCATGTTCTTTGTCAGAAACCATCATTCAAAATACATGTCATGGCATGCAATAAGCACTAAGTTATTATTCGTTAAGCACATTGATTTATTGATTCTTATCGTAAAATGATTTTTTTCCAAAAACACCCCAATCTGGCTCTTTATGTCATTTAATTTTAACGTCCACAATAGTTGCCATAAGGTATACATACTGATGTGTTTTACAATTGTGGTTAGCTTGTTGTCCTTCCCCCGCACCTACCATTAGCACGGTTGGCTATGTACGGTGCGAAATAACTTCAACATGCATACATGCAACCCATCATTTTAGTTTGTTCAGTGAAAATGATACGTGGAAAAAAACAACATACTTGAAACATAATTGCTATAAGTAGTTTCAAGGGCCACAGATACAGTTGAGAAACTAACTTTAAACGTTTTATCTAAAGCGCTACTTTACATGAAGGACAGTGGTACAGTACTTTAAATCACTCATTTATGTTTTATGCAAAACAATCACAATTCCTTGAAGCAGCGGTGAGTCAGATTTAAAAGTGTTCAGCCAGATGACAAGAAGCTTGTATCCAATCAGTTTTGTGAATGTAGGCCACGTGTCTTCTAACTCACTCGTGGCTATCTCTCTGATTCTTATTTATACGCTTTAGTGTTATCAACTTATCATTAAAGGATTTAAACTTGGGTAAAATGCTACCGTGTCTTTGGTCAATTTTGCTTTGAACAAGGCACTGGATAAATAACGATGAGAATGTCATGCGGAAGTTTGCCCTTGCTCAAATGTTGCGTTGCTTGCAGCCCTAAGCCATTGGTGACAATTCCATATTCCCATTATGGAGGCCATTATATCCATTGGACAACCACAGGTGAATTTCCATTCAATGGGACTGGATTAACCGACCCCAGAGGGATGATAGCGCCGCATCAAAAGCCTGACCAGGATTTGGTCTCCTAGATTCTCATTATATATGTCAATTGCTCTGCAATGCAAGCGCCCGGATGGCTTTCTGCATTAATGCCACACTTACTGTGTTTTGTAATGAACGAGGTTAACGCATTCTAGGGAATGGCTGTCGGGCAACAGATAGCCGGTGCTTTGGCCAACGTGAGGAAAAGTCACTTTCGACATCTTGGACATGATAAAACGTAGAAATTATTCCCATGTCCCTTCATGGAAACGACAAGAGAAAAGCCAAGTGGCCGCGCCGAATTAATGTATTTCACTTTGATTTAAAGCTTTCGTGACTGCAGGGATTCATATTCTTGGTTCTTTCGGTAAAGTCACGTAGAAGGGAAACAATAAAATAATAAAAATATAAAACAATAAAATTCTCACGACGTTTCGACCGCAACACAAGCAATCATCATCAGGTGTGGTTTTCATCATCAGGTGTGGTTTTCACACCTGATGATGATTGCTTGTGTTGCGGTCCAAACGTCGTGAGAATTTTATTGCTTTATATTTTTATTATTTTATTGTTTCCCTTCTACGTGACTTTACCGAAAGAACAAATAATATAATGTATTTCACTTAAAATGTGGGCAGTTTTTACGGAGCATTTGCCATTCTTTACACAGTCACATCATGGTGAGTGTGAGCCAGTGGGTTCCCTGCTTCACTGAATGAGAATGATGGAGTGCTCTGTCACAACGCAGGGTTCTGTAATCATTCGTGAGTTACAGTGAAGTGTATAACCTGACACGCGCTTCGTTTAGCTCTTGCTGGTCTTAAAGCACAATAACCATAACACGTAATTTGTTGTCTGTGATGCTATGCAATATCGCTTGTTTTTTGTGGCTGTTTAATATTAGCCAAGATTTACTGCACAACAACCTTCGAATAGCAGGGGACGCAGCGTGGCCCAATCGATTTCGAACGCAGGCTGCTGTGGGATGGTCTTTTTGAAAATATATATTTCGTTTAAAGATCTTTGATATAGTTAAGATATAGAATTCAGTGGGGGGGGGGGGGGATTTGTGTGTGCAATGCAATGTTCCTGCAATGGAGCGACGCACGTTAAGAATATGAGGACTCCAGTAAAATGACTATTTGATCTCTACATCTGGTGGGGGCAGGAGTTCCTGCCCACAATCACAGGAGCTCCTTATTGGCTAAAGGGTACAAACAGCACGACTAGAAACTTTGACATTAGATTCAGTGTCGAGAGTCTCACTACTGTTATTTCCTTCTATGAAACAGCTCCATAAACTGTCGCTTGTTCGTTATTAGTGGTAAAAAAAAAGCTGTGCCAGAAAGATCAATAATTTATTTGCTTGTTAACTCTGTTTGCAATTTGTAAAAGTACTGCTGCAGTGTTGGTAATTAGCTGAAAATGGCATTGTTGCTCAATTACATTCCAGTTATTTGTGATGATTTCCACAAGGCATTCTGAACCACTGCCTGTGTAACGTGATTAAAACAGGGACAATGAATAACCCTAATGGCTGTATCACCAATTTTTGGAGCCATGGTGAGCATTATAATGTGCTTACACAGTTTGTCCTCAACATCAGGTGGATGCGCACCACCATTGTTGAATTAAAAAGATGAGCGCCTCCCATGCAGGACTGCAGCCAAATTACAGTGAAGGAAAAAAGTATTTGATCCCCTGCTGATTTTGTACGTTTGCCCACTGACAAAGAAATGATCAGTCTATAATTTTAATGGTAGGTTTATTTGCACAGTGAGAGACGGAATAACAACAACAAAATCCAGGAAAACGCATGTCAAAAATGTTATAAATTGATTTGCATTTTAATGAGGGAAATAAGTATTTGACCCCTCTGCAAAACATGACTTAGTATTTGGTGGCAAAACCCTTGTTGGCAATCACAGAGGTCAGACGTTTCTTGTAGTTGGCCACCAGGTTTGCACACATCTCAGGAGGGATTTTGTCCCACTCCTCTTTGCAGATCTTCTCCAAGTCATTAAGGTTTCGAGGCTGACGTTTGGCAACTCGAACCTTCAGCTCCCTCCACAGATTTTCTATGGGATTAAGGTCTGGAGACTGGCTAGGCCACTCCAGGACCTTAATGTGCTTCTTCTTGAGCCACTCCTTTGTTGCCTTGGCCGTGTGTTTTGGGTCATTGTCATGCTGGAATACCCATCCGCGACCCATTTTCAATGCCTTGGCTGAGGGAAGGAGGTTCTCACCCAAGATTTGAGGGTACATGGCCCCGTCCATCGTCCCTTTGATGCAGTGAAGTTGTCCTATCCCCTTAGCAGAAAAACACCCCCAAAGCATAATGTTTTCACCTCAATGTTTGACGGTGGGAATGGTGTTCTTGGGGTCATAGGCAGCATTCCTCCTCCTCCAAACACGGCGAGTTGAGTTGATGCCAAAGAGCTCCATTTTGGTCTCATCTGACGACAACACTTTCACCCAGTTGTCCTCTGAATCATTGAGATGTTCATTGGCAAACTTCAGACGGGCATGTATATGTGCTTTCTTGAGCAGGGGGACCTTGCGGGCGCTGCAGGATTTCAGTCCTTCACGGCGTAGTGTGTTACCAATTGTTTTCTTGGTGACTATGGTCCCAGCTGCCTTGAGATCATTGATAAGATCCTCCCGTGTAGTTCTGGGCTGATTCCTCACCGTTCTAATGATCATTGCAACTCCACGAGGTGAGATCTTACATGGAGCCCCAGGCCGAGGGAGATTGGCAGTTCTTTTGTGTTTCTTCCATTTGCGAATAATCGCACCAACTGGTGTCACCTTCTCACCAAGCTGCTTGGCAATGGTCTTGTAGGCCATTCCAGCCTTGTGTAGGTCTACAGTCTTGTCCCTGACATCCTTGGAGAGCTCTTTTGTTTTGGCCATGGTGGAGAGTTTGGAATCTGATTGATTGCTTCTGTGGACAGGTGTCTTTCATACAGGTAACGAGCTGAGATTAGGAGCACACTCTTAAAGAGAGTGCTCCTAATATCAGCTTGTTACCTGTATAAAGGACACCTGGGAGCCAGAAATCTTTCTGATTGAAAGGGGGTCAAATACTTATTTCCCTCATTAAAATGCTAATCAATTTATAAAAATTTTGACATGCGTTTTTCTGGATTTTGTTGTTGTTATTCTGTCTCTCACTGTTCAAATAAATCTACCATTAAAATTATAGACTGATAATTTATTTGTCAGTGGGCAAACGTATAAAATCAGCAGGGGATGAAATACTTTTTTCCCTCACTGTAAACTGAAGGCCAATATTCCTCACTAAACAAAATTCCATTGCCATCAGAGATTAGTTTTCTAATTATGTTTTTTGCATTCACATTAGGCGATGTCCCCTCCCTACCTTTGCCCAGTCCTTGTTTGGCGTCGACGAATGTGGACTTTTTTTTCCTCCTTGGCACACAGACTGTCACAACCCCCCCTCCGTTATGGGCATCATTGTGGGTGTCACCGTGGGGGTGGTGATCATTGGCTTCATCGTCCTGCTCCTGTGGAAGATGATGGTGACCATCCATGACCGGCGAGAGTTTGCCAAGTTCCAGGAGGATCGCTCGCACGCCCGCTGGGGAATGGTGAGAGCATCTATGATTATTATAAATATTCATTCATTCACCAAGGCCTGTGTCTGAGCCAAGTTCAGTGGTGGTGTTAGCCCAGTTGGAGGCGCTGACCAGAAATTAGTGCGGTGGTGCCAACCTGTCAATTTATAAACTCCTCGTGAGATAACGGAAGAGGTGTAGACATAGTGAGATTAAACAAACGTCGGCAAAAAAAATCGTGATGTAGTAAGATGAGAGGAGAAATACAGACACTGTAGAGATTACATATATTGTTTTTTAAATTTTAATTAGCTTCTCTTGTTTATTAGGATACAAATTTGAGGTTATAATAAATGCATCACTATTTTCTGTATTAATTTGGGGCTCCTTGAGCTGCGTGGGGACCTTGAGCCTTTTCCTGGTTTTCTTGGGCCTAGCACTGCCGCTGGTCAAAATAATTGTCTAAAAAATATAATTCGATTAGAACCATTGTGCCAAAAACTACATTGTTTGGCTCAGATTTTTCCTCCATTTCTCCAAACAAATTAGCTTTGAACTCTCACGATAATTTCACGAGGGATCATGATCATAGATAATATGTTAAGCCAAGGTGGCAAGTGGACAAAAACTTCACAATGGTATTTTTGTCTCAGGAGAAAAAAAATACAATTTGGTAACGGTCACAAAAAAACAATAGTAATTGATTATATGAATTTATAATCAGACTTTCTCCCATCCCATCTCCCCATTCCGCACCATTCCCTGTTCAGAGCACTAACCCATTGTACAGACCCACGACGTCCACCTTCCGCAACGTCAGCTACCGGGGGACGAAAAGCGACGACAAGTCGACAGTCGAGATAATGCGGCACGATGAGACACTGGACGCGAATGCGGTTCCCTGGAAGATCCGCGGATAATGAATCGGGACTCGTTTGTGGAGGGCAACAGACGAGTCGTGGTTTTGACTGAAACAGCACCTTGAATGAGAGCGGACCCGAGTACTTATTGCGAATGAACTAACTGTAATCAGACGGACCTCTTTTCCACTGACACAACCGAGCCATGCCAGGGCCATGCCGAGCAAGCCCGGCATAGCTCAGGAGGCGCCAGTTTGTTATTCCACTGCAGAAGCTGAGCCGTGCCGTGATGTCATACGCATTGAACATATCATTTAGGCCCAATCCTGGCCCCGTTTGGTCCTATGCAAGATTCAGATGTATTTTGAGGCCGCCATATCACAATTTGGGTTTGGCTGGACTTGAGAAATAACCAGTGGGAAAAAAAAGCCCGTCTGTACCATGAGGGCCTGGTCTCTCTCGTCTCGGGATGTGCCACAGTGGAAAAGAGATAACGACAGTGAATAGTAGAGTGGAGCCATATTAGGGTTACGCTGAAAGTAAAATTAGGAGGCATATCACCCCCAGGTCCCGTGCAAAGTGCACAGGTCATGGCTATATTCCAACCTTCGCTCCACCATCTCTCATGCACTGGAAAGACTTTGCTGGAAAAGTCAAAGTGGTTCCAATACCAATTACACAATGTTTAAGCAGATTGTCTCACTGAGTACAATGCATGGTACTGTAGCTTGCTGCTTAGAAACGAATAAGGCACTAATAATCCACAGCATTTAAGCTGGATGAAAACTGTATTGTACATATCCTTTTTTAAGAACAAAAAAATTCCTTTGATTTTTAGCTTTAAGAAAATTGTGCTGTACTACTGTATTTCCAAATGTAACTTATTAATTATATGTGGATTTAAAATTGCTGCTGGGAATACCGCCGTGCACTTGTGTGTGTGTGTATATATACTGTATCGTGTGTTCGACTAACGCGATTGGTGTTTTTGCGTGAGGGTTAAAATCCTGCTCGACGCAGTGATAGGAATGTTGATGTTTTCTAACAGTTCTAACCAGCACATTTGTTGAATAAAATGGGTGAGGTACATTTAAATGGCACTAAAAAGCTTTTTTTTTTTTGGTCATTGCCACTAAAGTTTAAAACTTGACAATAAAATAATTTAAAAAATGTTGTCTGCAGTAGTTTGATGGAGATCTCAGTGTGTGTGTGTGCAAGCGTGACATGTTCACGTGTGAAAGCAGTCTCTCACTGAGTACAATACATGGCACTGTAGCTTGCTGCTTGGCAATGGATAAGGCGCTAATAATCCACAGCATTTAAGCTGTCTGAAAACTGGAACATGTGTAACGCGTGTATACGTGTTCCCACGTGAGAGGGACAGCGTTCATTGTTTACGGTGACCAGTGGGACGTGTTTAACAATCATCGGGCACATGCAGCGTGGGAACGAGTTTATTTTGAATTGAGGTTTTTATTTGGTAAACATGGAAATGCGTCACGTGGTGATGGGTCCCCGAGTATATTCCGTTCTGCTAGAACGCCGCGTGTTGTTTTCGTAACGCAAATTGGACACGACACGATGAATGTATTAGTGAACACATTTTTTATAACGTGGATGCGAATTGGATGTAACGCGACTGAGTGAACAGAACGAGTAGGAATAAGCGGTCGTACGGCTGCCTCGACGTAGCATCACACGAGGCGGGATGCTGCTGGATGCTTCGAGATGCTACCCACACACGCCTCAGTCGTTAAGCCTGCATCCACCTTCTCACGTGTTATCGCGGACTGTGCTTTACCCTATCTTATACAGGGTTTTCAAAAAGATGGACCCAATTTCAAAGATATAGCGATTTCAAATCGGGTCCATCTTTTTGAAACAGCCTGTATATTATAACGCGATTTTTTGTTTTCCCATAATGCGGTGTGTTCTTCAAGAACACGACTGTGCTGGAGTTTGGGAAATCCTGGACGAGGGTCAATACGCCAAGAATATATGCAACATTGTTTTATCTTGAGCACATTTTGGCGTCAGTATTTCTAAAGCACAAGTAAAGTAACAGGATCTGTTTGGGTTTCAATCCTGAAAACGATTACCTGTTTCAAAGTGAATTACAGTACTGTATTTTCTTACCGAGATCTTGGAACAAAGCAAACAATGGAAACATGCTTCATTTGCTTACAAATTCTGCACCTTTTTTTGGTCTCCCATTGCACTCAATTATCCTTTCTAATGCCATACGAAAATGTTGCACCGTAATTTAATGCCATACAATGACAAATGGCGTAGAGTATATCGTGTAGAGTTGTACTTGTAAGAGTGGAAACAACCGTTCCCCACAATCGGATGTCGGTCCCGCTTGTTGCAAATTTAGCACCAAAAAGTGAGTTGTGGGCTCTTTGTAACTGCAGAAATTCAGGCCTGTATCTCGGAAATGCCATGCCACCTAAAATGCACCACGCACCATGGAACATATTTCTCACGCCGCCGTGTGCACTGCAAGAAAGATCACAGGAGAGATAACCATGCTATCAAGCACTGCATGTGTAAAAAAAAATAATCATTGGCGACACAGTCAGTTGACCAGTGTATGGAGATAATGAAACGTGCAGTGAGGAAAACCGTATTAGATTTCCTGTAATTGCCTGCTGTGTAAGGTAGCATACAACAATAGCAATAGAAACATATGCTGAATGTTTACACAACACAAGCACATATGTTTTGGTTCGCTACATCGTTCCGAGTTTCCACCATGCTAAACTGAGCATCGGATAGCGTTCAACCACAGTATATCGGTATACTTAACTCTGTGATGGATATTTATATAGTTGGAACCATATTAGCCATAACACAATCACTGGCAAATATATATATATTTTTTCTGCTATATTAGTAGCATAAAGGTGCATGCAACATTTTGCATGCATTCAAAAAGTTGTGTTTATTACTTAAAACGGTCGAATCTGCCTTACCAAAAGTTTCATAACTCATGTAAATATGTGCAGGCGCATTGAGAGTACAGAATATGAAATATATTCCCCTGGATTCCATATATTAAGCAAACAACGAACTTAGTTTCTAGTCCAGGAGATGTGCACAAGACAATTCAAAACAATAAAAAAAATGTGTATAATAAATTAAGATATATTTACTATTCAGGGTAGAAAATTGTAGGTTTGGGGACAGGATTGGGCTTCGGGCAGTGGGTGAGTTAATGGCTAAGGTAGATCATCTTTCCTCTCTTGGATGTTTGCCTCTGGGCAGCGTGGTTAGCGTGGGGGTAGGACATCTTTTTGTTTAATACAATCCCAGCCCACCATTCCAGTGTCAACCTAAGGTGGGCTGTGCACATTCAACAGTACACACGCGAGTGTGATCACGCGTACATTTGGAAAAGCACACGTCTGATCTTTCACCTCCATCTTCCAGTCAAACCTGCTGTGTAACAATCCTTCAGGTGACACAAAGCAAATTACCACCGAAGAGTTGACCAAAAACCACGTACATGTACAGAAGACCCCCTTTCATCAATCCACTGCTGGATGAGAGCCTCCCCCATGCTGTGCGGGCCGTGGGCCTATCACACCATACTTCACCATGCTGGTCAGCTTGGGGTGGTGAAGGCGGGGAATATTGATGTTGGAGCATGGTACAGTGCAACGTTTGATTTTGCTCCACTGCCCTCTACTGACCACATAGCCTCGCAGTACTACACACAAGTGTGCACACAAGTGTGCTCCAGTACTGCACACACGTGTGTGCTCCAGTACTGCACACAAGTGTGTTCCAGTACTGCAGTACTACACACACGTGTGCTCCAGTACTACACACAAGTGTGTACATAAGTGTGTTCCAGTACTGCACACACGTGTGTACACAAGTGTGTTCCAGTACTGCACACAAGTGTGTACACAAGTGTGTTCCAGTACTACACACAAGTGTGTTCCAGTACTGCACACACGTGTGCATACAAGTGTGTTCCAGTACTACACACAAGTGTGTTCCAGTACTACACACAAGTGTGCTCCAGTACTACACACACGTGTGTTCAAGTACTACACACACGTGTGCTCCAGTACTGCACACACGTGTGTTCGAGTACTACACACACGTGTGCTCCAGTACTACACACAAGTGTGTTCCAGTACTGCACACACGTGTGTTCGAGTACTACACACACGTGTGCTCCAGTACTACACACACGTGTGCTTCAGTACTACACACAAGTGTATGCAGTACTGCACACAAGTGTGCTCCAGTACTACACACACGTGTGTTCGAGTACTACACACACGTGTGCTCCAGTACTGCACACACGTGCTCCAGTACTGCACACAAGTGTGTTCCAGTAGTACACACAAGTGTGCTCCAGTAGTACATACAAGTGTGCTCCAGTACTACACACACGTGTGCTCCAGTACTGCACACACGTGTGTTCGAGTACTACACACACGTGTGCTCCAGTACTACACACAAGTGTGTTCCAGTACTACACACAAGTGTGCTCCAGTACTGCACACGTGTGTTCGAGTACTACACACAAGTGTGCTCCAGTACTGCACACGTGTGTTCGAGTACTACACACACGTGTGCTCCAGTACTGCACACACGTGCTCCAGTACTGCACACAAGTGTGCTCCAGTACTGCACACAAGTGTGTTCCAGTAGTACACACAAGTGTGCTCCAGTACTACACACACGTGTGCTCCAGTACTACACACAAGTGTGTTCCAGTACTGCACACACGTGTGCTCCAGTACTACACACAAGTGTGTTCCAGTACTACACACACGTGTGTTCGAGTACTACACACACGTGTGTTCCAGTACTGCACACACGTGTGCTCCAGTACTGCACTCAAGTGTGTTCCAGTACTACACACACGTGTGTTCGAGTACTACACACACGTGTGCTCCAGTACTACACACAAGTGTGTTCCAGTACTGCACACACGTGTGCTCCAGTACTACACACACGTGTGTTCGAGTACTACACACACGTGTGCTCCAGTACTACACACACGTGTGTTCCAGTACTACACACAAGTGTGCTCCAGTACTGCACACAAGTGTGTTCGAGTACTACACACACGTGTGCTCCAGTACTACACACACGTGTGTTCGAGTACTACACACACGTGTGCTCCAGTACTACACACACGTGTGTGCAGTACTACACACAAGTGTGTTCCAGTACTACGTACAAATGTGCTCCAGTACTGCAGTACTGCATACAAGTGTGTTCCAGTACTGCAGTACTACACACACGTGTGTGTGCAGTGCAGTACTACACACACACGTGTGTTCCAGTACTGCACACAAGTGTGTGCAGTACTGGAACCAAAGAGCGACCAACGTAGACGAAAGGTTGCACGTAGAAGAAGACCAGTGATGAGATGGAAACTGGCACTATTTGGACACATACGTAGGATGGACAACAGGGAAATTTTAAAAAAACGTGTTGTTCGGAAAAAAAATGAATAGGAACCGGAAAGAGACCTCACAGAGAATGGTTTGACGACGATATGAGAGGTTGGTGCCAGAAAGATGTGCGCACGACTTGAGCACATTGGCACGAGACAGAGGAAAGTGAAATGTCCAGCGGACACCCACGGGCTATCTGCCCATCATGGATCGTCATGATAATGGTGATGGCACTTATACTATTTGGTTATTTCGGTAAAGTCACGTAGGTACAAAATAAATCAACAGCAGACCATGCTTTCCCACCTGATGACGGACGCTTATGTTGCGCCCGAAACGTCGTGATTTATTTTATTTTATAGACCTACGTGACTTTACCGAAAGAACCAAAGAGTATGGATTCCTGCAGTCACGAAAGCTTCAAATCGTGATTGCACTTGTCATAAGGATTGGGATTTGCCTATTATGTATTGTATATATCGTTATATAAATATAGGGTGAAAATGGTGAACGTTATTTTTTCCAAACGAGAATAAAAAAGGATTAAAAATCCTTGAAAAAATTACGACTCGTGCGATTCTTAATTCGTTTCCACGTGAAGGCGATTTTTTTTTTACCGAGTCCGTCTGTGGTGAGTTTGCTCACGTGTCTCTGAGACTAAGGGGGAAAAAATTACAGGAGAAACGGAGTGAAACTAAAAAAAATCCACAGGTGCAGCTCCCTCATCTCAATTACCTTTAATTTTGT